CATCTTTTGAGACCCTTTCCCAGGGTTAAAAAACCGTCTTATACGCCAAAAAATACGGTAAATGCACCTGCACCCTTATACTTTTTCATTTGCTACCTTTTTCCTTTTGAACAAGCTTGCAGAACTTGGGGGGGTTGCAGACTGCCAGAAATAATGCAAATTGAGTCCACTTTTAGTATTAGGGTTAGGGAATCATGGGAACTGTATTTTATTGTGGCACCAGAGCTCTCTGACAGAGAAGGCTCAATGTCTCAGAAAAAAACCAATTCCCATGATTCCCTAGCACTAACCCGAACCCTAAAAGTGGACTCAATTTGCACTATTTCTGGCAGTCTGCAACCCCCCTTGGTGGACCAAAAAGCACAGGGGAGAAAAAACATTCTGCTCTATAAGAAGTTCTTGCTTGTGTCTGTAAAACTGTTTACCTTTCTTCATCAGTTGGAATCAGGAAGCCTTTTCTTCCTTTGTTCAGATTTGTGCATACATGCATGCTTTCATTGAAACAGATAATGAATTGTTTAAATGAATAAAAAAAAACCAAATAACCTCAACCAATTTCCATCACTGTTTACCACGATAATGACCCTGTCTTGCAGTACTTATGACGTGCCCAAATGCTTTGAAATCATTCTTGATTTCATCTTCATTTTACTCCTGCTAGTATGGTGAACTGAGTTTGAAACCTGATTGGAAAATCTCTTAACTTCATGTCTGGATCTGATAACCCAGTCTGTTGGTTCAAAACTGTGCACCAAACTGTGGATGTTAAAACTGACAAATTTTATGCTCATTTGATTAGAAATCATAATTGTGAAAGTCTGATGAGTAAAGGTAAATAGCTGCAGGAAGTAGTAGTATACAGCATGTTAGTATCCTGAGATCTCTGCTTGCAACCCGTCACCCACTGCACTTTTATCTTCAACATTATCCTGGACCAGAAACCACTGATAATGATTGGTCATATGACATCCTCCTGAGAAAATGCTCTCCATAAATTTTTATTGCTCAGTCTAATTGTCCTGTAATCTTTAGGGCTGAGTGTTGTCTTCTTTTTTCTCTTTGCAGAGGTGTTGACACATTCCTTTCAATCAGGCATCTTGGAGTGAGGAGTTAATTTGATTCCCATTAATTAACATTGAAATATTCTAGCAGCAAGCAGACCATAAACGTTCCATAATGTAAAATAGTGAAAGTACACAATTCAAATGAAGCTGCTGGGATTTTATTTGGGAGAGCATATTTCTAAAATAGGTTATTAATAAACTGTTGAGAGTAGCTAGAGACACGCACATGTTGAAGCAGTTTAAATAGACTAAAGTTGTGGAAAGAGACAGCAACGTAAGTTTGAAAGAACAAAATGATACTTGATTATAATTTGCAGTCTAAAAATACTCTTGCTTTTCCCTAGGATGTCAAATACATTCAGACAGATGGGTATCGGGCTCCTGAAGCTGAGCTGCAGAACTACCTATCCAAGACAGGAGTGCAAGGGGGAACTGAATGTACATCTGCTGTAGATCTTTGGAGTCTTGGAATAGTATTACTGGAAATGTTCTCAGGAATGAAACTGAAACATATTGTTCAATCTCGGGAATGGAGGGTGAGTCTCTTTCCAGTAGTTTTGCAGAGAGATCTGTCACCATTTGAAGGTTTAATCCCCAAATTCCTTGAATTTTGACTACTGCTGCTCTTCAGTTTTTTAGAGAAGGCAATACCTTATATGGTTCTAGTTTTAATTGCCGTATGGGTGAAACACTAAGCCAAGTGGACAACTTTGTCATGTCTAGGAGCCAAACTTTTGCCTCTCAACACCCACCGTAAGCTGCAGCTGGCCCAGAAATACTAAAAAGACATAGATTAAAAACAGCTGTGAGTG